GGAGCTCTGGGCTCACCGAGCATTCCTGGGTAATAGTAGTTTTGCTCCTTGTGTGGGAGTTTGGGAGGATGACACACTGTCTGCCTATGGCGAGGCACTCACTGTACTTCTAAGAATGGCAAGAAAGTGGACCTCTCTCATTCTTTCAGCCTGAAGAGTCCGGACCTGGGCAGACCTAGTTCCTTCTCCAAAAGGGGTGACAGTTATCTTTAATGATTCAGTTGAAAGAGAAAGATCTGCATAAAAGCTTTTATAAACGGTCTCTAGAAAAAGGAAAAGCTTGCAACAGTTATCTGAAAAATAAACTTTTATTTTAAGTGCAATGTGCAGTTCATTAATAGAAGAAAAATATGTACAGTCAGCAGGGAGTAGATGTGTTCCAACATGTGCCTTTAGAATTCTGAAGATGCTGAGAACGATAATTTGGCTGTATGCACTGGACTCCTGAGGCGAGATGTGCTCTTCAATCCCATTTTAGGATGAAGTGACATTTAAAGAGGGCAAGATAGTTTTCCCAAGACGGTCATGTTCGAAATATTCGTTCCTCCTTGTGCATGTGTGTAAATGGAGGTCTCAGGGACAGATTTCAGAACACCTAAGTACGAATCCTGGAGTTAGAGCATCATCAGTCACTTGGCAAGCCACAGTTCTTCCTGTCCTTTTGGTTATGTCTCTTCCTACATGACAGCCTTCAAACCTGAGTTCCTGTGTTACAGCTTGCTTCTCCCAACATCTTATACACGGGAATGATGTTGCCTGGAAGATCCTTTAGGGAATCTTGATCTTTTTCTTTGCAGTCCAGTAAGCTACCTGTACCCAACTAGGATGGCTAAGGAAAATAATTCTGGACAGTCTAGCATCTCGAAGCCATGACAGACGAGTTATTCTGTGCTGACCTGATGTCGCAGTGCTCTTGGCATGTACTTCCAGTCCACAGCCATATTGGAAGCTGGCCACAATGGGCACTTGAGCCAGCTGAGAAATTGCTGAAGTGCCCCAAAATTGGTATTAAAGGGAACTCAGCTAACGTGCCACGTGACGTCCTGCTTAACCTTCGTACAGTCCTGTATTTTCTTCTGAGACAAGATGGCAATAAATACGCGTGGTCTGTAGCCTCAGATTTTACGTATGTAAAATGGAGATAAGACCTAGTAGGGCTGTTGTGCAGATCAAATAAGACTTGAGAGCATTTAGCCTAAAAGTGAGCACATTGTAAGAACTCAAGGGAAATTTAAAGTGCTTTGGTAGCCATCTGACGACTGTACTGGCCCCCAAGTATTTGTTTCCATGTTCTAGGCAGTAAAGTGAAAAGACTGAGGCAGAAGCCATCTTTTCCTAAATTTTAGTTGTAGGTCTTATCATACAGGTGTAGTGAACATTTTGGTCAGGATCTAATGCATGTTAGGCTTAGCGAGTAACGGTCCCCATAACTCTCGCTGGTAACGTCACCTACCAGGCCCTGTACTGTGCTGGAATAAACGCTGAGGCCCAGCACTGAGCATGACCTTCAGGAGAGACATTTGCCCTGCATGTAACAAATGCCAGACGCTGTGCTGAGCTCTTGGTGTGCTTTTCACTGGACACTTACCACATCACAGCGAGATAGTCCCTATCACTTCCAATTAGAGGGAATTAGTAACTTGCCCCAGGTGCCGCCCTTGAGACTGACACAAAGTCTGTGCCATTAACTGCATTGCCTACTGCTTCTGAACAGAACTGCCTTGCCACTCATGGGACTTCCTTAAGCACAGTAAAGAAAAAAAAATACATTTTTTGATGCGTCACGGGGTAACTTGTGGAGCGTGAACTCCCTCCCAACAGGCTATCTTAACTTCTGCCTCAGCGTCCACTGATGGAAGATTTCCATAGACGCTGGTGATCTCCACTTCATTCCTGTTTCTCAGATGAGCCAGGTTCAAAAATGCGAATAGATTCTGGAGACATGATAGAGAGATGTGACACTACATTTATTGGGTTGTTAGTAGCTTTTCCATAGAACCCCAAATGCCACGCCTGGGACCTTGCTTCTCACGTGTGAAGGTAGATATGAATGGGGTATATACAAATTCGATTGATTATGCTTCACATGAAACTATTTTGAGCTGAGCATTTCCCACGATGGCTTTGCAAGAAGTAAGTGCCCAATGCCATTGTTTCATCTTCAAATTCATTCCCTCTGTATTTGGAAACAAGTAGCTTGAAAAATTGTTTTCTACCTTTTCTGTATTCATGAACTCTCACAGCTTGGGTCCACGATATGGCTGAAACATAAATATTCAATTCTCTATCTTCACAAAGAATCAGACTAAAACAGTTATAAACCCGAAGGGCTTAAATTTAGAAATTAAGAGTAGCAGGTGGGGTGGTACCTGTGGCTCAGTGAGTAGGGTGTCAGCCCCATATATTAAGGGTGGTGAGTTCAAACCCAGCCCTGGCAAAATTGCAACAACAACAACAAAAAATAATTAAAAAAAAAAGAGTAGCAGGTTGTATTCTTTGTTCTTGGAACTAAGCAAAAAATGTTACCTGCTTTTTTCAAGTTTCATCACCATGAAAAGCTTGGAGTGTCAGTTTTGTTGGGATTCAGATAATAAACTGTGTCATTAGGTGAGAATTCTAGGACATCTCTCCAGTTAGACCATGTAAGAGGAAGCCTATACATAGAACCTTTGGGTTTGGGGTGAAGAGACTTTAAGCAGGTCTCCCATTTCTACCATGTTCTTAAGAGTTAGTCCTTTGTATGGTTTTTCATTAAAGCTCAGCTTCTCATTTTCTTGTTCCTTCCAAAGACAGGAGCAGGTCCCAGAGTTGAAGCCTCCATGTTTTTGCCTTGTGTTCATTAAGAACCAAAGACTCAAAAACAACACCAAGGCTTTAAAATACTTTATAAGACTGTTTTAAGGGAACTGGTTGCACAACTGGTACTATTTCATGTCCAAAAGGCAGATTTCGGAGGCCACTTAAACATTTGAACTCAGAGACTTGGCTGGATTTCTTTACCAAAGGCTACAAATCTGTTTATTCTTCCAGCATCAATCCTTGTAGCAGTTCCTAAAGTCTCTGGAGGGCCCACTTTGTCACTGTGTGTCACAGGCTCATCTTTCTCCAAATATACTCCTTTAGTGTCTGATAAGCTTCACATTTTACCTCTCAATTAATTCTCTTCTCCTACGTTGAACTCCAGAGACACAGTAAACTTGCAACACGTTTCACATAGGTTTCCTTGAGTTCCTGTTTGGGCGATAAAGCGGAGGCCTTTCGTCCCTCCTGAGCTGTAATTGCATGCTAAATTGACGAGCAGTCGATTATCATGTAACTATTCTTATCTCAATAGAAATACCTTGTTTCTTCAAATCAATTTGCACCTTTTCAGTTGAGCCGAACCTTGGTTTTTACCAGGAAGGACAAAATTTTAAAAAAAAGAGAGATGCTTTAGACTCTTTGAGGGTTAGAAACTGGTACCCAGGACCTAGAAGAACACCCTGGGGACTGCAAAAGCTGATGATGGAGAATGATGCTTTATTTGTAAAAACTGACTTTGGGCCTTGTAGTTGATTAATACTGTATAATCCTTGCAATGGGACAAAAACACTGATATCTAACTTTAAACTTCTAAATGAGAATTTGGCACTAATCCAACAACAACAACAAAAAATCAGTATTTTTTTGTCCCATGGCAGGGTCACAGCAGCAGCCAAACAAATGGACTTCAGAGTGTATGATGAGCGCTAACCTACTTACCAAACAGCTCCTTCAGCAAGTCTCCGCTGGCAGGCCACATCCTGCTCAGGGTGAGGGCTGCATGCCGAGGAAGCAAGCTGGAGGCCGGCCAGTCCACCTGAATGACCACAGCCTTTTCTTTTCACCTGCTTACTCCCACGCCTCCCATTACTAAGAAGGTCCAAGGCTATCTCTTCTGTTTTATTCATTTAACCAAATTACAAGTAGGGGAGGCTCCATTAAGCAAGACAACAGAATCACCTTATTCCTCACCTTGGATTACTCATTTCCTTTCTTAACCACAAAAAGCAAGATGTTAACTGCCTTATATTCCACATGCGAGGGACACGTCAGCGACTGCTCCATTCAGCTACTCAAAACATCTCTTTACCCTCTTGCTACTGTGTCCATGGGCTGTTGAATCCCAGAGGAACTGCTGTACCTTCTGCAGTCCACTCCCCACCTCACTTTGGACATACGCTCATTGTTCCAAGCCTTGTGTCTTCCCTCGCTGCCTGAGGCTTTAGGGAGAGAAAGGAATGGCCAACCTAGTAGAAAACTCACTAAAGTCCTCGACTACTTTTTATTCTACTCAAACTCCTTATCTCCTCTTTACACCATAAGTTCTGAAATTTGTCCCTTATAGGAATCTGTCCTATCCCAGCTAGGCTAAAAATTTAGAAGCTGTAACAATTCTCCAAGAAGTCACCTTAGAACAGTTGTTTTCAAACTTTAGTTTATATCAGTATCACCCAAAGGGCTTCAGCAAACAGATTCCTCAGCCCTGTCCCCAGGGCTTCCAATTCCACAGCTTGTGGCCTGAGAACCTGCAATTCTATTAAGTTCTGGGACCACATTGAGAACCCTGCCTTAGGAATGTCACATCTGCATGGTAAGACAGTCTAGACTTTTATAAGAAGAAAGCCCTTTCCTATGCCTTAGAAGGCACTTGACCTATACAAAATGACAAAACATGGAAAATAGATTTAAATATGAAGCAGCAGAAGTCACAGAAATCTTAGCACACATCTCTAGGTCAGGAAGCAACGAGGAAAGGGATTCTCCTATAAGCAAGAATTCTAGGTACAGGCTAAACTAGCTTCTTTTTACAAAATAAGAGATATTGGGGGAGCAAATGTTAAACAGGTATTTGTTAGTACTTGGGTATAAGAGAAACTAGCCCAATTGATTATAGGTGTAGTTACACATCAAGAGCTATAGAACGCTTAATACTACTCAGACTGTTTATAAAAGTTCATCCCAGAGGAATAGGCACAAACCATGGTTAAGCTGCTTGGTTTAATTTTTTTAGCACTTGAAAAAAAATGTACAGTAGTTTGAACACTCCGTCTTTACGAACCTCCATGGAGGTCAAAGATTTCATTCATAAGTACAAAATTAGTTTACAAATGTTTTTGGCAATTTCATCTTAGTAACCCGTTTTATCCTATTGCCATTGTCCCAACTATTGAAAAAGTTTACAATAATTTACATAGAAATATTTCAAAGTGCTTAAGAATAGTGATTGTTCTCTGGGATATTTACAGGTGGCCTATACAACGTATGTACAGGTGGTATACACTATAGCACAAGTTTCATTGCTGGAATATGGCTTTCTAGGGAAAGTGCATATTTGGCCAGAGGTGGCAATACTGTCTAGAAATTTAAGGGTTACAGATACTTGGTAACCACATCCAAAGCTGAAGTAGAATGTGGATAAGACTATTTACAAAAGTAATATAAAACAGTCAAGTACACAAACTTGATCCACCCAAAGATTTCTTGATGTTCTTCCAGAAAGGAGGAAGAAAGAGACTTCAGCTGCTGGTTCGGTTACCACTGGGATGTAGGGTATTGTGGGTTTAGACCTCAAAGGTCGAGACTTGTCTCAGAAGTCAAGCTAGATCATCATCTGTGCTTACAACTGATATCTGTGGAAAGGAAAAATATGAAATGAGTTTGGTGATCACTCACTGGTGGAAACTCTAGTCTCTAAAGTGAACATTGCCCATTCAAAGACCCAATGCACTCAGAAAGACAGTCAGCTATAAAACAGTATACAGTTACATCCCTCATGCATTTAATTTGAATTCAACTACATACCTGCTTGGTAGAGAGAGAAACTGCCTATTCTAATTAATGAGCATACATGTTGAAGAAAATGTGACAGATGTGTGTGCCATGACTTGACCACCATTCATGTTTTGCCAGATAGCTTAAGAGGTGGGATATTTATCTTCATAAAGCATATTGTAACTTTGGATAAGTGAATCTTACCCAATATACTGACTTTAAGCCAATGCCTCTGTACATGAACCCTACTTATGATATGCTAATTTATTTTTGAGAATCCATGAGGCAATGGATTTAACCATTCAAAAAAGGAACATTTATATGTCATTTCTATAACTGAAAATAGCTCCAATAACATGATGATGACCTATTTGCTGTTCTGTATGGGTCAGATGCTGATCAACTGCTGGACTTATATCCCAACACACTAAGCTATCTGATGGCCAGGTAGTAGATGAGGTGTTTGGAAACTCCATGATCCTAATGGCTCTTTCTAACACAGGCAGCTCTAGCTTGAGTTAGTGGTGTCCTTTCCAGAAATTCTTACTTCAAGCCATAGTGTAGAAAGACACAAAGCTGACTTACTGCTGGGTATGTGTGTCCAACAGAAGCACTGTGTCTACCAATGTCTATGGAGAGGTCCTCTTCAGTGGTCTTCAAGTACACAGGATTGTCAAAGTTCATGCTTTTCATGTTCTTGTGTTGCCAATTCCGCCACATCAAGTAGCCACCAACTGCGGCCATCACTAAGAGCACTGAAAAAAGAGGATGCTTAAGAGACATAGATCTAGTTTCATGATATGCAAAAAAGGTAATAATTAGGAATCTATAGTAACTGACAGTAATAACAATGTCAAGTTTTATTATCCTACACATAGGAGCTAGCCACATCCAGGCAAGGGTAGAGTCCTGGGCCCCACCCCAGGCCACTGAATTAAAATGGCATAAGCTTCTGATGCACTACTCAAGTGCTCCTAGTGTGTTAGTTGAGCTTGAAATCTAATAATTTAAGACAGAAGCTGTTATAGCCAAGTCCGTTAGAGGTCACATGTCTGATAATAGCTTTAGAGGTCCTTTCCCTTAGGTTTAAAAATTCTTAACTACTTTTACTTTACTCTCTGCTAATTCCACAGCTCTTCAAGAAAGCATTTAAGCATTTGTGCATCTCTGTAGGAAGTGTTACACATATCTCATAGAGGAAGAGAATAGTATACTAGTTAAAGGGACTTATTATAAAAGGGGATTAAGCCAGGCTATCAAAGCTAACATAGAAAGCAATAAGCATCCTTTGTGTAACTATGGAACATTTATCACTGCCAGTTACCATTCTAAGGACACCACTGAAGAGCATAGTATAGACCAAGGGTGTCCAATCTACAGCTTGGGGGCCACATGTTGATTTTGTGAGGGCTTTTTTTGCTTATCTGTAGTGTCAAGTATCACAAAAAGTATGCACAGACCTTTTTATTGCTAATTAGCTTTCACTAGTTTTTATGTCTTTGCCTAAGACTACCCTTATTGTTCCAACATGCAGTAGAGAAAAAATGGTTGGACACCCCTGATATAGACTTTAGTGTACACGTGGGAGAGGAAGTGAATGTAATGCAGGGTAACAACAGCCATGACAGCACAAGGGGCCATGAAAGGGGGTGGCTAGTGAACTGTCAATGTCCCTCTGGCGTCTAAGAAGTTTATCAAATCTAGATGTGTAGGGAATCTACTTACAGAGAGGAAGAATGGCCCAGGCAGCAGAAGTCCCTTTTGGGGGCACACTGACCTCTGATACTGCGGTGGTCACATTGATCCCTACAGAGGAATAAAAGAAATCAGTTTAAAAAGATCTGAATTCAAATTTAGAAATTCACTCGACCTTGGTACCCAATGTTGATGTTCAGCATCTATGACAATTGTATGCCAAGGACTCTGGCCTAGAAGTATGTGAGTCACATGCTGTAACAACTGTTTTGCTGAGAAGTTCTCTAGTAGGTCAGATCAGCTAAGATTTTCAGGTTACCAATCAGGGACTGAATGAGTGGTTAAAGGCTGCATTAATTATTTAAGCTATAGCTACCAAGAGTGTGGCTGTTAGTTGAGATTAACAGTTTGCAGTACTGAACCCAATACCTCCAGGAACTAGTCCACTAGTTGGTGAAATTTCTGTTGTGTTGGTATCTTTTGTCTCACTGTAAGTCACAGTAGGTGCAGTACCTGAATTATAAAAACCGAGAACCTGGTTAACCCCAAGGTTCCAGATCGGCTAGCTGTTCAGTCCAGACAAGCCATGCAAGAGGTTATTTTAATACTGGGTGAAAGAGACAAGCCACTGCTCAACTAAGTTGTATGGTTGATTGTCAAAATTTTGACAAACAGTAGTCTTCATATAAAAACAGCATTTAGAATTTGATAATTTAAACAGATGTACAGCCACATTTAAAGACCCCTCTAAATAAGGGGTCCTGTCCTAAGTGTCCAGGAGCACCCAGAAATGTTCTAAAGATGCTCTGGGGCACCAGGCATACCAGACTGTCTTGCAACTACTTTCTCAGTAGACTGAGCTATTCCCTGCCATGACCCAAAATGAAGCTAATAAAAACCATATGGATCCCTTGATCAAAACAAGTGAGTTTAATTTGCTACTTAATCAAAAGCTAAGAACAGAAGGCTAAAACGTAAATTCACTTATTAGTCTCCTCCACTGAGGCAATGATGTTTCTGGTAACCATGGCCTTCCTAAGCATAATTTCAGTTCTCCCTCTTTGGAGGAAAATGTGAAGACTTTGTTTAATTATCTGCAATTTGACTAGCTCAGTGCTGTTATGGGACTAATTGGTACAAATTGGTATGAAGTAAGTAGCTTGACACTTTAGTCACCTATAAACTCATAGGCTGTCGAAATGGGTTAAATAAAACTAACATGAACACCTGGCACATGACAGCAGCAGATATGTTTTCAAGTCTACTCAAATAATTAGTGAAAACAGAATTCTTAAAAGCCAGGCCAGTTTTTGTAGCTAGTATCTTATCGTATTGCCTGTTGTATATCTAGCTGGTGGTTAAAATTCAAAAAGCCTTACTCTGACACTCTCGGCCATTTTCCCGAAGATTGTATCCATTGGGACAGGAGCAGGTGTATTTTGGAGAGTGATCATTAATCTGTGGTGCTGGCAGGCACAGGTATTCACATCCTCCATTCTTTGCGTCTTCTTCACACCAATTTTTACCTAGTTAGGAAAAAACATCCTTTAAGATAGGCATTCCATATTTAGCCATGAAAAAAGATGGAGACCTTACATCTTCTGTATTAACCTGGATAGAGGTGGAACACACTCTTCTTAGTAAAGCATCACAAGAATGGAAAAGCAAGAATCCAATGTACTCTATTCTAATAAGAAGGCAGCAGATGAGCTAATACAAGGGAGAGTAGGGAAACAAGCAAGTGGGGAGAGGGGAGTAGGGTGGGAGATGAGGGGGCACAGTGTATGGCACACCTCTTGGGGGTAGGACACAGTAAGAGGGACTTTATCTAACAAATACAATCAGTGTAACCTAATTCAATCAGAGGGTAACCTCTGTACCCTCAATGAATCCTAAACAATTAAAAAAAAAAAAGGTATTCTAGGGCCTGCTATATATAAACCTCATTCTAAATCAGGGATTTTCTTTAATTTTTAAAGATCATTAATTATTTTTGAAACAAGTTCAAAGCACAGTGAGTATATACTTTTTTACTTTTTTAGCAACATAAGTGTGCTGTAAGACCAAAAAAAAAAAAAAAGTGAGAAACACTGTTCTAGATGTTGTTGACATGAATCCTTGTCCCCAGGTAGCTTAAACTTCATGTGAGAGCAGCATCAGTGAAGAGTAAGCATAAAGGTACAGGCAGTATGTTCTAGGGACACTTGATTTAAAGGGACTTCTTGGAGGTAAAACATTACATCTTCAACAGATGAGTGCCAAAGTACGGGAGGTGAGAGACTAGGAATGGCTCTCATTATTGGTCCAAGGTTTAGAGCAAAGGCTCAAAGGAAGGAGACCAAGCCTGTTCTGGCTTTGTCCTGACTTGTTCTTATAAAGCAGAAGGGAACTCAGCTATAGGGAGGGTTGAGAGTTGCACTTAGATGGAACTATCCAAGTGTTTTGAGCAGCAGGCAATATAACCCATGGGTTTGAGAATCTACACGATCATATACAGATGTGTCTAAGGGGACAGGTAGGTATTATGGTTCAATTGTGCACCTACCTCCTAGTCATATGATGGGTCCTAAGCCTCAGTACCTTATCTGTGAATAGGATATTTACAGAGAAATCAAGAAATCAAATGAGGCCATTAGGATGGGCCCTAATCCAGTATGACTGGCATCCTTATAAGAAGAGATCTAGACACAAGCACCTAGAGCAGTGGTTCTCAACCCTTCTAATGCCTCAACCCTTTAATACACTTCCTCATGTTGTGGTGATCCCCAACCATAAAATTATTTTCGTTGCTACTTCATAACTGAATTGTAATGTAAATATCTGATATGCAGGATGTATTTTCATTGTTACAAAGGGGGCGTGACCCACAGGTTGAGAACCGCTGACCTAGAGGGAAGATGATGTGAATAGTCACAGGGAGAAGAGAGGCATGTATAAGCCAACAAGAGATGCCCAACACAGCTCCTCCCTTCATAGTCCTCAGATAGTGTGTTGCCAACACCTTGATTTTGGATTTATAGTCTCCAGAACTGAGACAATAAATTTATGTTATTTAAGAGACTCAGACTGTGGTACTGCACTATGGCAATCCTAGCAAACTAACAGTAGAGAAAGCTTATGAAACAAGAGTTACTTTGGGAGCTAGTACAGTCGTCTTAGTAAGAGACCAAAGGGACATGGAAAAAACAGAAATGAAAGTTGACCCTGGGATGGGGGAGATAGGAACTGAGGTCATGAAGCTTTTTCATAAGATGCCAGAAATAAAAGAGATCAAACATCAAATATGCAGTATTCAAGGTAGGGTATGAGAGGGCAAATGTTCCATCATAAAGAAAGTTGAGTTGCCAAAGTGATACTGCCACCCAGCAGGGTGGTGTCACGCTGCTTCCCTTAGAAGTGGTTGTTAAAAACTGTGCTTCTCCACGGTACCTGATGGCTGTATAAGTTCATGATAGACAATGATGTCTTGGGCATCATTAAGGTTGTTGACTAGGGTGGCCAGCTCCGATCCAGTGAATTTGTTGGCACCATAGACGGCTTCATTTTCCCCATCTATCCAGTAGACGCGATCCTAAAACAGAACCACCCTAATCAGCATGTGTTCCCTGGATTAGAGCAAGTCAGTATTTAATTAGGGTCACCCCTATTTATTGACCATTTAATGGACCAAGTTATTGAATGCTGATCCAGGCCATCAGATATAAAACTGTAGAAGAGGCAAGTTCATGTGTCTTGACGTGCTTTGAGGAATTAAGAGTCTAATATGCACCAGGTTTTAAGAGGAAGCAGTTTCTCAAGTTATGCTCTTTTGTTCTTCCTTCCTCTGCCTCTTCCTTTCTCCAAACTGCTATGGTTACTCAAAGATGTACACTTAGATGGGAGATGCATGTCTTACCTCGAATATGGTTAGTGCAAGAGGATGAGCTAGGAACTCCAGAGACTTCAGTACTATCCTACGATCTTGGCCATTCAAGTCCACACTGGATAACATGTGCAACTTAGAATCAAGCCAATAGAGGCGGCTTTTTATTAGGTCTAGGTAGGAAAAGAATGGTCATTGTAGGATAAGCCGTTATTGTTCTGGTTTCCATTTTAAATATCTAATGAATTCAATATTTGACTTTGATGGTTCCTTTCACAGGGATCCTATAAACCTTATGTAGCAGCATGCAGAATCTGTACCTGTATTCATTTTGGGGGGCTAAGTGGGTACCTCAGAATCTCAAGGTAAATGACTTAAGACATGTCACTCACATCATAGAAAATATTAAAAGAGGCTAGCATTTTTTTATTCTTTCCTCACGAGCCAAAAGAAAACTACAGCTTGCAATTCAGGAAGTGCTAGAAGTACCTGTGCCCAGAATATTTATATGGGAATCCCCAAGACTGACTGAATTCATGTTACATATATCAGACCCAATGGACAACAGGCCAGCAATCGCAGAGCTTGTAATTTAAGTCTACTATTCCACTTGTGCAATTCCATTATCTTCATCCCAAATTCCTCCTATAGAAGGAACCAGAGAGTCCTCTGCTGCAGCCCAGAAATAACTATGGAGATAAGTTAAAACACCATGAGGATAGCTGAATTGGTAGTTGAGAAGAAAGAAATACATACCAAGCGTTATCCCATTAGGCCACTGGATGTCTACTGTCACCAGAGGACGTCTATCAAATCCATTCATTCCTGCTTTTTCTATTTTAGCTGGTTCACCCCAATCTGACCAGTAAACAAAGCTGGGAAGAATTAAATCAGAAATAATCCTTAGTGGTTTTGAAGGAATCAAATGTAAGCTTGAAACAAATGTTTATAAAGAATGAACAGAAAATTTAAGATATTCTCAGTGTGTGTTCTTGGGCAGCAACCTATGCATCACCCTGCGTGTCCCCAGGTCTAATCTGTCTCTTCCTTTCCTTCAACCTCAAGTGGAACTGCTACCAAGATGCAGATTTTCATAAGAACCCTCATGGAAGACCACCACCCTTGAGGCTAAACCTTCAGATACAATAGATGACATAAAGGCCAAGATCCAGAATAAGGAAGGAATTCCTCCTGATCAGCAGATATTCATTTTTGCTGGGAAGCACCTGGAAGATGTTTGTACTTTTACCACAACATTCAAAAGCTATCCACTTTTCTATGGTATATGTAGACCATGGAATACTATTTAGCCATAAAAAACAAAACAAGACTTCATGGTCGTGCTGAAAAAAAAAAAAAAAAAAAAGACAACTTACACCACTCCTAAGAAGAATAAACATAAGAGAAAGAAGGTTAAGTTGGCTGTTCTGAAATTTCCCAAGGTGGATGAAAATGGCAAAATTGCCTTTGCCAAGAGTCTCCTTTAGATGAATGTGGAGCTGGAGTTTTTTTGATAGACAACATTTTCACAATGATGTCTAACTTACTGCCTCAATAAACCAGAAGATAAATAAATGTACGTGAGTTAATAAAAAACATGAACTAAAAAAAAAAAAAAACACTGATTGTCTGCAGATGAATACTAACACTTAACGGCATAAATTATGGGTAAATAAAATTTAACACTAAGAGAATATAAGCTCATTATTAATTGTAATCCTTTATATCCGCCTGACATTTAAATTTTAGTCAGATGGTTATACATTTGTTTTTTAAAAGGCCAGCGCTTTCTGAAAGATAAATATCCTTTAAATTTTATAGTAGAGGCTCATTGTGTTCTAATGAGGCTTCATGGGGCCAGCTGTGATTACTACCGTCTGAGGCAGTTTAAGAAGCTGACTATGTCATTCAAATTTAGGAAAACACTTCACTGAAATATTTCTTGAAAGGCCTGCTTTTTTCAACTGGACTTTCAGACAGTCTGCACTTTTAAATGCACTATGCTTACCAAAGTCCCTGCAATTCATGCTGATATTAGGTGTGATCATCCAGAGCTAACCCAGCAACATGTTCAGGCAAAAATGAAAGATCACTTGCATACAAAATGGGTGGGCAAGAGATTCAGAAACAGCTTTTGGTGTACATCATTTTGTGAATGTCAACCAGTAGCCGGTTATAGAGGAGTCACGGGGCACACCAATCACATAGACGAGACCATCCCAGAGTTGTTCAACAGTGCCACCACTGACATCTTGAACCAGAAATTTCTCAGTTGTGGGATGTGGGCTGTTAAGTCTAGAGATTTTAGTACCAATTCAGGTAGGAGGAAAGTTCCTGACCTATGCAGATACTATGTAGTATCCAAAAGGCTGGGGTAGAAAACACAGGGTACAAACCCAGACAACGGGTCCACAGCTATGGAGGCGGGCTCACGCAAGCCCGAGTTAAACAGGAACTTCCTCTTGGTTCCGTCTAGGGTGGCCACTGAAATAGTCTTAGACGCCGCATCAGTCCAGTAGATGGTCTTGTACACCCAATCAACAGCAATGGCTGCAGGATTATAGACATTGTCGATCATTTTAACATGTCTACCAACCTTGTCATCAATTGAGGCGCTGAAACAGAATAGGCCACAAGAAATTTAAGAGTTTGATACCATTAGAGCTGGAGAATGGACTTTCTGCTTACAAAATGGTAAATTATTTACCCATGCTGCTAACTGATGCTAAATTAGTAACACTGTGGGTTATGTAGTTGTTGAGATGCTTTTTGTATGTAAGAACAACAAAATTCTAAGCAAAACTGTTTGTTTCATTAGCCATCATCAGAGTTTCTATAGTTTGCCTTAAGAAAAGGCTGCACTACCTTTTCTGTTTGTAGCGACAATGAACGATTTTCAGTTAACTATAGGGAAAGGTAAGAAAATATGAGAAATTCAGGTGTCATCTATTATAGTCTTTCAGCTGTAATCATCTAGGAATTTGTATACAACTGTTCCTAATTAGGAACTGACAGCAATTTATATAAATATGTTTTAATATATATTATATATAATACACATTTTATATATAATATATATTATCAAAATATATATGATTTATAATAATACCGGGTATCCCAAAGGTTGCCCATAAAGTCACCATTACATAGGGAAAATGGGAAATTTCAGCTAAATGTTCCTTTATTTACAATGTAGTCATCATAAAATTTTATAAAATATTTACAAAATATTCTCTATTGACCACCTCTTTTTAATTTTAATAATGAACACTTTATGAATGTACATTTAGCTATAATTCCTCTTTCCCCATGGAATGGCAACTTGAATTATGGGGTATCCCAAAGGTTGCCCATAAAGATAGTATTAGATTTAATGTTCCCAGGGAAGTAGGTGCGAGACTAGAGCTAGAGACAGGAGAAGCTCCTCCAAAGCTTCCCGCAGGCCAAACGACAATGATTTATCCAGACACTAAGAATGGAACTGAAATTTACCTGAAGATGGCCTTTTGGCTTAAATCAGCCCAGAAGAGTTTCTGAGCAGCGATGTCAGCATCGAGAGCCACGGTGTTTCTCAGCTGTTCAATGAGTTGGATATATTCTTTCCTCTCTAAACCAATCTTCCTGATGTCTCTTCGATTAGTGAAGATTAGACTTGGCTCTTTGCCTACAAGACAGAAGTTGGGTTTACTTAGTTTTGCTACAGAAGGCAAGGTGCTTCTAAGTCCCCTTTCCAACAGAGGAGTAAAATAGTACACATACTGCTGAACACCTCCCTAGTACCTGTCCCTGAGTTCCTGCCCCTGGAGCTGTGAGCATTTTTCCATTGTTTAGGGAGGCAGTCAACGATATGGGTGGCTGACAAAGAAGTTACTTATTTGAATTGCACTCAAATTTTGGAAGTAGACAGTAAGCAAACCTGGTAGGTAGTCATGGTATCCTATGCAAAAGGAATGCCCAGGGCAGACTTTTGGGGGAAAGGTTTGCTATTTAATCTATACTGTTGCACTGAATTTAGTAGCAGTGTTATCAAGGACTATATATATTGATTTTGACTATTATAGTCACTGGTTTTACCTTTTATGAGCTCTAAATCATAAGGGTATCAGAGCAACACCAGTCCAAGTCCATTTACCTACTGCCTTGCACACACCAGTGGCAAGATCCATTTGATAGCCACGACTACATTCACACTTATAACCGCCTTTCAAGTTGATGCAAATTTGACTGCAGATTCCCGGATTTTGGCATTCATCAATATCTAGAAGGGAAATTAGAATCAGTTTTGCTGTCCCCACACCTTTCCAGATGTACACTGCCCTTTTTCCTCCCCCACAGGGCTAGGTTCCCATCTTCAACTCACCTCCACAGGTTTTCCTATCTATTAGCTCAAACCCAGCTGCACAGTCACATTCGTAGCCTATAACTAGATCTTTGCAGATGTGGGAACATCCACCATTATTTACCAAGCATTCATTTACATCTGGAATAAAAAGGGAGCAAAGTCACTTGGCAACCTATTCTCCATTGATATGTGTCTTTCACATTTATTTTTTATTTATTTTTGAGACAGAGTCTCATTCTGTCACTCTTGATAGAGTGCTGTACCATCACAGCTCACAACAACCTCAAACTCTTGGGCTTACGTGATTCTCTTATCTCAGCCTCCCAAGTAGCTGGGACTACAGGCACCTGCCACAATGCCCAGCTACTTTTAGAGACAAGGGTCTCACTCTCATTCAGGCTGATTTTGAACCCATGAGCTCAGGCAATCCACCCATGTCAGCCTCCCAGAATGCTAGGATTAAAGGCATGAGCCACTGCACTTGGTCCCATTGATATTTGTTTTTCATATTTAAAACTCAGGCTATTTGTGTTAACTTATCTACTTGACCTGGTCAACTAGTTAGACCCAATCATGTGTTTTATAGATATGTGTTGAGGATGGATTATCTCCTTGGCAAGTTACAGTTGGTCAAGGAGTAGGTAGTCAAGTTTCTCCCCTGCTGATCAATGATCTTCAAAGAGGTTAAATTATAAACTAATTTGTTACTGTTTGGGTTTTTAAGTCATAAGATTTTAATTCTACAATTGAACTTGAGTACATTAAAAAGTTAAACCAGGCATCATGCAGGGCCCTCTCAGTACTAGCTATGTTGGGTTGAACATTCCCGGCTCTGAACTCAGCAACCCCTTCACTTACGACATTCTTTCAGAGGCTCATCGCTCCAGTCCCTGCAGTCCTGTTCCTGGTTACATACTTTGCTGATATCTATGCATTCCCCACTTCTGCACTTGAATTTCCCAGGGCCTAAGCACTGATTGACTACAAAGAGAAACACAGAAGAGAGGTCCATTAGTGGAGTGGGTCTGATCAGGGCAGGCTCTTGCCTGGCCACCCGGGAAAGACTCTTACCATTTTTGCAGTTGACTTCATCAGAACCATCTACACAGTCTCGGATCCCATTACACTGCCTACTGCCGTGGATGCAGCTACCGTCCTCACATTCAAACTGGTCAGGCCGGCAGGTTAGAGAAGCTACAAAGAAAGAAAATGCCATAGAACGAAGCCAGCCAGACTGTCCCAGCTGACACACGGCAGAGAGCTGATGCGCCACGCTGCTAAGAAGGCTACTTACGGCAGTTGACCTCATCACTGCCATCCTTGCAGTCGGGGTCCCCGTCGCATCGCCACTTCTTGTGTATGCATTCGCCAGAGCCGCACTGGATCTCACTGGCAGGGCACTTGGTGTGTATCACTGGCTGGCGGCCACACTGCTCGAGGGACTCGTCGGACTGGTCAGAGCAGTCTGCGTCATCATCGCACACCCAGCTGATGGGGATGCAGGAGGAGGTGCTGCACTGGAACTCGTGGGCACCGCAGGTTGGTGGGGCACAGTCAAGCTCGTCGCTGCCATCGTTACAGTCATCCTGGCCATTGCATACAAAGTTCCTGGAGATGCAGCGGCCACTGGAGCAAGTGAACTCATCAGGGCTACACGTTATGTTGCCTAGTAAGAAAGAGGATGCCCCGTTGAAAATCATTAGGACCGGTCCTTGCAAGACTCTCATCCCCAAACATAATACACTGATATTTGATTATAATCCTAGCTTCCTAGCTTAATTTAAAAGCTAAAATAGAGTTCAATCAAGAACAAGCTCCTGAAATATTAGGAAACTGTCTCATTGTATAAAAAAATGCAGGCACACCGTAATAAGAACATAAAGGACCAAGAAAACAGTTGAAGACTAGAAATAAATTTGACACCAGAATCACAATTGACTCTTAAAGGGACAATGATCAAAAACTTAAATTGTGACAGGGGATTTCATTTGGGAAGGCAGAGACTGTGTTATCCTTGAATCGACATTCTGCTTGTCAGGCCAGATTGCATCACTAGCTTAGAATATTACGCAATGTAATGCTCATAGCAAACATTAAGACATTATCACCAAAAAGAAATGAACCACGTATCGCTATACATGGGTCCTTCCTTTTTGGTCCTTTAAATGAGGATTATAATTACAAGTCTTAAATACTTTCAATTTTTAAAAAGTCATTGTCAGGGCTAGAATCACAAATCTAGCAACCAGGTATGCTATTAATGAAGTTTAGCCAGATTGTACTTTAACTTAAATTCCTGCCAAATGTATTAAGGCCACAATTTGGTGGTATTTAGAATAGAGACTCTCTTGGGAAGCAAAATCTAAATTTACAAGGGAAATACTTGGCAGCTCTAGGGCTTACCAATAAATACAGTTTAATTCTAGGATTGAACACTAAAACTCATTGGACTAGGTGCAGTGGTATTGACCTCAACAGGTGACTTTTAAGCACAAGACTGGTGTTTCTAATGTAAGTGCCCTGGGCTCCAGTATATACTGCCATAACAGTATATAATCAGTATATAACACTCACCCTTGTCAGACCTGGGAGCTGGAAGTTTTAGAAGCACCATAAAAGGGGCGGTAGCTTGAAAGAACCTTCAAAGCAATATTTACTCAACCTAGAGATTTTCCCAAGGCTTCACCTTTAACATGGAACATTTTATTACAAATTTTCCAAGGCCAGAAAGATGAAAGAATAGGAAAGAGAGTCACAGGAACTGTAACAGGAGACAAAGGTATCACCAGTTGGGTAGACTTTCCTTTGGGTATCCACGAGCAAGATGTTAATCCGTCCTTCTGTGCCAGTTTAACTTTTGGAAAGGTTATGACTGAATCTAATTTGGAAGCAAAGAAATGCGTGCAGGATACTCGAGTAATTTATTCCAATAAGCCGATCTACTCTAGACCTATGAATGTGTGCATGACCTTACTCACTTTCTAGTTTTATTGAGCCCAAGTGAGGACGGCCCTAACCTAGCCCACAGAATTGCTGTTTCATTGAGCTACTTTTAAATATAATGCCTTGAAGGACTTACCTTCTTATTTCTACCTGTCTAAAAGAAACACCAAACAATGGTCAATTACCAAGTGAATGTCTTGCAGAGTTTTAGGGCAGTTAGGAAGCAACAAAGAATTGAGCAGATAGTGAAGTCTCTGAAAAGTGAGTCGATGTAAGTGCATCTTCATGCCTAGGTTAGCTGCCCCTGCCCACCCTTCCTCGAGGAAAAGGGTCTTTGGGTTACGCCACTCAACACTGATCTTCTTACCACAGTTTTCTTCATCTTCGCCACTGTCACAATCATTTTCACCATCACATCTCCAGGACACTGGGATACACTGAGTGGAACGGGCGCCACAGCTGATTTCATTTATGCGGCATGTTCTCATATCTGTTGACGATATACAGTCTCAAAAGAGCCTCAGAATGGATCAATGCAACGCTGCTGCTCCTGTGCTGCCTGGAAGTGGTAACACCTGCAACTCAGTGGCCTGGCATACCGCTGAAACTGAACCTACTAGCTGCAGCCTGGGAGCTCTTTTGCCAACTCCATTCCTTAGAAGCCACGCCAACCTGGCAGTGCACGTGAAGGCCTTGACCACGTCACTCCCTCAAGGTCCCATGGCGTGCTCAGCTCTTGCTTTTGTTTTACTTGGCATAGTTTATTGGCTGGCCTGTCCTAGATCACTATTTATCTGTTGGATATCAAGTGGGCACACTGAAATTTGTCACCAAATTCCAACTTCAATAAAGGCCAGATGGTCGAACAGTTATGAAATCTTCCATTGTTTAGATTCCTTTACAGGCTATTTTCACGATCTTTTTTTGGATTTACATCTCACAAAATAGGGACATAACCTAATTCTTGACTTTACCAGGTTATTCTCCGCTAAAATGTGGGGCTGAATCTTTATAGAATCTATCTTTACAATACTGGTCAAGGTGAAGTATATTAATTACTCTCCTCACTTCTTGTCTAGAAGGTAAGAACATCCTTATCTTCCTTGCTGCTTGATTTTCTTTTATAATCACATTTCAGAACTAAATTTCATTTACATTAATCCTTTTTTTTAGTATGTCAGCAAGCCTCTACTCCCTCAAAATGAACTCATGAACTCCAAGACTTTCTTCACCTTGACATTGAAACAATCTCAGTTTATATGACCCCAAACCATCACCCACTATGATCTCAGACTTTTTCCTGAATATCAGCCTAAGAACACAGATATATACCTGCCAACTTAAGAACAAGCTATCAGCTCACTGCTTTAGTAACTGTAGGTTATATGTTTGTTAAAAGTCACTGTACATAGATCACTAAATACTAGCCACCATACCCCTTCAGTAATAGCTTTTTAATATGAGAAAGTGTGTATCTGAAAGTTTATACTTGTCCTATGGGGAACCTCACATCTTGACTTAGCTTCCAGGACCAGAGTACCATCTGCTCACATTCATCATTATGAAACATTTAAAGTCTATGCACCTAGTCAAGGAGTTCTTAATCAAATCTGCTGGCTTTAGTCTTATGTATTCAATAGTGAAGCTACCCAAGAGAATGTCAGTCTTGTTAGACCAGGGAGTATATTCTTTCAAGGAGACTTATCAACTGTTAATAACTTGACTGACCTTGGAGTCAATTGGCCTAAAGTTTCAGAATTTCAGAAGGCAGGCAAAGAAAAACAAAACCAAGTAGTAGATCAAGCAGTACTTAGAAGTATGAGACACAGAACAGCGTGGAAAAGTTCAAGTCCAAAGCAAGTCACACTCACGGCACTGTTCTGGGCTTTCATCAGAGCCATCTTCACAGTCAGGATCCCCATCACACTGCCACCGGTTGGGAATACACTGGCCATTGTTGCACACGAAGTCAGACTCAGCACATGTCTTCTTTACTACAAAAGTTTATTTGAAGGGTTAAAGTTGAAGGCACTTACCCAAAACACCTATCTTTGCTTTAGGGCTAAAACTGCATATTTGAGTTTAAAGCTGAGTCAAATTGGCACTCAACTGCCAACATCCAGGAGAACTTTAGAAAAATCATTTTTGTTTTTCAGAGGAAGGTGTTTAATCGAGAGACTTGGAGGATCCTTAAGTCATCAGGGAAAGAGAAAGGTTCCCCACTGTTTTACAACCCAGATGCCTCACATCTAACTTCTTGCCTGGTTACAATGTTGGGATTAAGTAACACTTTCATTCTCTTTAAGGGTTTTTTTTTCTAAGTCATTTAACTATTTTGTAAGTTTGACAACCAGGCATTACATTCTATGACTGGATCATAGTGTTTGTTATGGTCTGAATATTTTTATTTTCCCTCAAATTATGTTGAAATCCCAACCCCCAATACGGATGGTATTAAAAAGTGAGGCCTTTAGGAGGTCATTATGACACAAGGGTGGAGCCCTTGTGAAGGGGATTAATGTCCTTATAAAAAATGAGTTTTCTCTATGTTCTCCACCACCTGAGGACACAGTGAGAAGATGGCCATCTGTACACCAGAAACATCAGGTCTGCTGGCACCTTGAGCTCAGCCTTCAGAACTCTAAGAGAGAAAGTCCCGTTGTTTAAGCCACCCAGTCTACAATATTTTGTTATAGCACTCTGAACTAAGGCACTGTTCCAGGGGTATCTCTTAGCAACACATGATGGAAGGCCAGATCCCAGGATTGGATATTGCTACCGCTATTGGTCTTCAGGGGCAAAGGAACTTATCTAGTAGGAAGGGAAAAAACTCTCAAACAGTATGACAAGAGAGATCATATTTAGAATTCAAGAAGAGGAAGATTTTAGCCATTGGAGTCAAGGGGTAGGCTAACATCAACCAGCTAAAAGTTACAGAAGCTGCCAGTGCTCATATCCATAATTTACTGTGAGTGTTAAAATAGCCTAAGGCAAGGTCTCCTCGTAGGGCAGACCATCCCCCCATACTTAGGGTTACCATGAAATTTGTCCAAGTAGGCTCAGTCTCAATAGAATGAGACACTACTAATTTTATGAAAAGATAAGCATAAATCAGGATTGTCCTAAGCAAACTGGAAGCCTGGTCACCCTACTCATAAAGGAATCTGAGACTAGGGAAATGTCTTGATAAAGGAGCCATGCAGTATACCCAAGGTTGATCCTTCTTGGCTTGTATTCTTCCTTTCTGTGTGTCTATACTTTCTACCTGAATTTCTGTTTTAATACACTTCTCTCCCTCAATTATTCTGTGATGATAAATCAGCAAAGTCTGAAATTTGCTGAGAAACTGAAAGGGACTACATCAAGTCAAGGGTTTAAGCCAGCTAGAACTCTTGATTTTAGAGCTTACCCTGGGACCACTCTGGTTTAGCCTTAGATATTTTAAAGCGGGAAGATGGTGATTATAGTTAATTTCTAAAACTCAGGATGGGTTGATAAATTATAATAATCCAAAGTATTACTCATCTCCTGGAATTGCACAGCCAAGAAGAGCCATGTTGTCTATTAGATTCACACCTGTTTCTACAATCACCAAATCCCAGTGCTAATAAATGGTTATGTAAGGCCCATGCTTCAGAGCATGGGGGAAAAGGTTAGAGAATCTACAGGGGTTAGTTGCTGTAATTCAATCTTTGATGCTTTTCAGAAGTTAACAAAAGGAGTAGAGAAATGGTTGTAAAAGACCACATGATTTTAAGAAGTAGAAAATGCCATGGGGATAGGAAAGCATGGCTGTATAACAGTGTTTGAGCAAAAAATAAATAGGGAGAAAGTGCCATAGACTCTCTCCATTCTGATCATAGACTAGGAGGGTAAAGAAAGGATAGTGGAGCTGGTCCTTGAAAGAGGGATAGAAATTTAGATGTGACACAGAGGAAGAGAATTAGTAGTTACATAATTAGGGTATTTAAGTTACTGATTAATCAGCTCAGATTAACACTTACAAGAGAATGGGTTAATGGGACCAACAGAAGCACATGGCTTCTAGACTCTAAGGCCAAGTTGACACAATATCCCAGTTGGCATGTGTGACATAGAAAACCCTACTGAAAATTATATTCAAGTTCCACATCAGGAGATGAGACATGAAACAAAAGGAGGTGGTGGCAGAAGTTTTAAGTAATTGTATATAGCATTTCTCGTCCACCAAGGAACATCTCCAAGTAAATATTCAGAGCTTCCCTGAGTCATACTTCTACCTTCTCTCTCTGCTTTCACACCTGGGAGACAGAGACAAATTCTGGCCCAAGAATATACTTAATTTTTCCCACCTCAAATGATCTCAAATATACATTTACCTCCTTCTCTCTTCCAAACCCTCATACCATCTGGTTAGCAGAGGGTATTTATAAAAAACTCTTTTAGGGGCTTGGTGCCCGTAACTCAGTGGTTAGGGTGCTGGCCACATGCACGGGGGCTGGAGGGTTCAAACCCCACCTGGGCCTGCTAAATAATGACAACTACAAGAACAACAACAAAAATAGCTGGGCATTGTGGTGGGAGCCTGTAGCTCAGCTACCTGCAAGGCTGAGGCAACAGAATCACTTAAGCCCAAGAGCTTGAGGTTGCTGTGAGCTGTGACACCATGGGACTCTACCGAGGGCAACAGGGTGAGACTCTGTCTCAGAGAAAAAAAAAACAACTCTTTTAGGAAAACCCAGTCCTTATACCCTAAGATAACACAGAGCAATTTCTACTGATTTAGTCAGATGATGAAAGAAGACTTCAATATAAAGAGAATTATTACTTTTTAAGGAAAAGTGATGTTTTGCCTAATATCATTTTTATAATGGGTAAAAAAAATGCTATTTACACCAAGACAACAGTTGACAAGAGTAGGAACCTTCAAGGGAGGTATTTAGTGAGAGAACTAGATTACCTAGGTAACCCAGAAATAGCATGGAGCTCGATGTCTTGTGTAGTAGATGAAATCTTAGAGTTAAAATGCAAGTGATGGGAAAGTGTTACACACGAAAACTACTCTTGGTCCTGAGACTGGAGATAAGTTTCTTCCCTGGGACTGAAGAATGGACTTCCTATGCATCCAAGGGAGCTACTGATCCGCATGAAGACACTTGTGATGTTGGTCAGAGAGAGCAGCATAGGACCCTGTGTGCCATGCTGTCGTGTCTCAGTCAGGCCGTGACAAGACAGCAGTGATGAAACCTTCATTTAGCTTCTTTTTTTCTGTATTTCTAGTTTGTGTAGGGAACATCTTCTTATAACATCTTGTAAAAGGTAAATAACAATGCTAACACCAATATGCACACACCATGTTGTTTCTGGATTTTTACAACATTGAACAAGGTCCATAGAGCAAACTTCAGCTTGTATCAAGGTACCTAAACGGGAGCTTGGTAAGTACTTCTCAGCGGTTCTGGCTTGACATGACAAATGCAGACGGAGGCCTTTCTCACAAATGATCTTTTGACAGATGCTGACTGCCGAGTATGATGTTAGATCCCCATTCTCTGGGGGAGAGAATGTCTTCCGCCCTGTTAATGCTTTCGAATTAGCAACTATTGTAGCCAGAGAATTAGAAAAGAATCCTTATCTGATCTTTGATCTGTGCTGGCTTGTAGTTTCTATGTCAGGGGTTAAGTAACCCCCTGAAACTCTATGGGATTTTCCTCATGTTCATGGCTGGCTTTCTTTTCTGGGATCAAAGGCATCTGAGCATAATAGTAACAAAAAAATAACTTCTAAGCATTCTTCCATCGTCACTTCTGGTCCACTTTCCCCTTCCCCCAGCCTCCTATAACCCAGGTTTGCCTTATCTCAGATATACTGGGTCCTGTCATTCAAAAGGAAATCCACTTTATCGTCCATGTTTTATTCTCAAGTTGATAACCCCATGTTAAATTTTCAATTAATATGTTCCTTTAGATAGGGAAGTACAGATTCTTTGGGTCCTGGTTCAAAGCAATTGCTAAGAATGGATTTTATTTTTAAAATCTCAATACATTTGTAGGAACTAAGATAATATCATCCATTTTGATAGAGTGCGTAAGTCCACACGAGATGTCAAGTGAGATCATCAAACTCTTTACTCACCACAGTTCTTTTCATCACTGCCATCAGCACAGTCTTCGTCCCCATCACATTTCCACAGGAGAGTAATACACCGGCCGTTGGTGCACTGGAACTGGGAGGGTTCACATTTGGCTTTTCTCCCTAGAATCAGAAGGGAACACTAAGCAAGGCAAGGACAGAAAGGTGGTAAGTTAGAGATGCAAGTTACCCCAAACCCACAGACAGGGGCCCTCAGGAAGACAGCTGCAGACTCATCTGGCTGTAACATTTTAGGGGCCAGAGCTGGACAGGGCTTGGGATAGTGACTGATAGCAAGTGCGTTCTTTGCTGGGCACATGCTGAGACAAAATGCTAGCTTTCCAGCCTTTCTTGTGGGGAGACACAGACCAAGAACTAAGTTCTGGCTAATGGAATGTAAACAGAAATGGTATATATGGTTTTTATAAAACATCCTTAAAGGGACAGAGGATCTATTTTCCTTCCCTTTGTTCCTTTCTGGTTCCTGAAAATTGGGCATGGTGGCTGGAATAGTGATCTTGGGCAAACGAAACCAGATTAGGATGGAAGGAACCTGGATTGTCTAGAGACCACAGGGCATCACATCTGCTTCTGGGATCATTTCTCTCATTTGTTTAAGCCGTTCGTGTGGCCACAATCACACAATCAAATCCTAATCCTTTAATGGCATTTCTTGTCCATATCCATACTTTTATAAATGGAGGCTGTTCCTATTATAAACAAAGGAGATTTCGAAAGGGCAGCAAGATGAGGGTAAAACAGAGGCTCAATACATGGTTCCTCATCTTAGAAACTGAGGTCTAACTGTAAAAAACACATTTACAAACAGTTTCAAGATAAGATAAAAGGAACAAGTATAGCTAAGAGGCAAGGGGAAGCATTTCTATTGTAAGTAGTGCCACAGACCTGATTCTATTTCTCTGAACTTCAGCTTCCCTGTGCCAAATGTATGGATACTTAATTCCTATAAAGGTATGAATTAAGACTTACAAGTAGCATACTTAGGTTTTTCCCTGGCACAAGACAAATAATATTCAGGTGATTCCTATCATTAGCAGTGCTGTCCTCTTTGCGAAAAATGGTACTAATCTGGTTGTTTAAAGCAAGTATGCTGCAAATATTTGAGAAAACTAGTGAAATCATATAGTCAATGAGCATTACTTAGGGAGGGTTTCCAAGCAGAAAGCCTTCCGATTTCCTGCCACCTTTCAGCATCTGCAGCTGTGGCCTGCTGGCATAAGAACCGATACTACAGTGACAAGCACAGACTGGAACGCTTGTGTTATGTGCACAATACTCTAGTTGGTCTCCCCAGTATCACTTGCTCCCTGTTGTCTGGGAGCATTCTGTGCTTTGTGGCTAATTCCTGGGAAATCAAAATTTGGCCCAACTCAAGATTACTGCATGGGTGTGGTAAACTTCTTTCCATATTAAATATATTGCTTTAAAAACTGTATCTACTACTTACTCCTAAGAGGCTAGCTAAGTGGAGACTCATCTACAAGGTAGCATGGTAGAATGGCGCTTCCTACCTACATTTTATAATACTTATTCATTCCACAAATATAGTCTGTAAGATGCTAGGATTTAGAGGAGGGTAGATTGTTGTCAGGAAGCATCACCTGTTCATTTTTATGCTGCTAAGCAAAATATGAGGTATCTGGCTGCCTCCTTCCTTCTCCCCATTGCCACTGAATTTTCAGTATATTCTTCTTATTCTCAATGCTGGGGGCACTTGTTCTAGGGGCCATTTGCCATAGTTCTTTAACCTTACTGCTTTTGAGGACTGAGAGTGGTAAGAATCTTCTTTGAGTACTTTATTAGGAAAAGCAGAAAAAGAACAATTTACAGTCAGAGAATGTAGGTATAAATATACTTGGGGCAAAAAATAGGTGGCAGTTAGGATACCGAAAGGCTCTGAAGGTTTCTGTTACCAAAGGTTAAGTCAAAATGAGACATGGTTAGCAAACTTCTAATCAGAGTGAGTTAGGGACCTAGATGAATAGGTGTCAAGTGATGGTTTTTCTCTTCAGGGTTAGGTACTGAAGGAAGACCTCCTTAAAAAATGAGTTTTAAAGCTGCAGATTTTATAAACACCCAAACTGGCCTGGGATTAAATACAGCACCCTAAGTCTGATATTTAGTCCATTATCACCTTGAAGAGGGTCTGTGAATGTGGCTGTAGTGTACAAGCTATCAAGAGTAATAAATTACATAAAAATCCCAGCAACTGCTCCAGAGTCTATACAGCTCAGGGCAAACATAGCATTTTCTACTAAGAAAATATCCTAAGACAAAAAGGAGTCTAACTTCTACCTTTTCTTATCCCTGATATTTCCACTTCACCCAAGCTCCTGCCTGATTGTCATAAAGCTGTGTTTTGCCATCACACGCACAGACACTCCATTAGCAAGGAGGAGCAATTGGTGTTAGGAGTACAATGCCCCCCTGAAACATCCTTGCTTGTTGAAAAGAGCAAGATGGGGGTGGCGGGGTGGGAAGGGAAGCTGGTTTTATAAGAAACCCTTTAAAGGGAGGCAAATAAAGACCTTAAGCTTTATGGCTATGCCTCTTAGTCTCTGAATTTCCGAAGCACTTTGTTTTGAAAGATTGCTACTGGGCAGAAATGCTCCCTAGTTTTAGTTCTCGGCTTCACGCAGAGCAGGAGAACTCAGACACTAAATCACACGGTGTGGCCCCGTCATCAGACTATAACACTTTTTAAGTTTTCTGTTCAAGTTTTAAAAGGGTTCTGCCTTTCCACCTCTAGTGCTCCACCGGGATTGCCACTGCACAGAGCTCCCAGAGAGCGGAAAACACCACTTGAGTTAAGAAGCTTTTGGTTCCTGAAGCTTTGGGGATTACAGGACTGTGGCCCTGTAGTCTATTTCCATCCATGAAAGTTAAGTCTCAGGCTCAGTATTATACTTTCATAAAGCGAACAAGTTGAGCTTGAAATCATCTGCACCTGAGGTTCTTTTAATTCTTAGATTAAGCTAAAGCTGATGACATCTCAAAAAAAAAATAATAACCTTGGAAGTAGAAGTGTTAGGTACTTATTCCATGGTCTGTCTACTCAGAAAAATGAGAAACTGGGGTAAAATGCAAGTTTTCAGAGGTTCCTCAAAATCATGGGATTTCACCTGAATGCCTTATGGCCAAAGGGGTAATTGAAGTGGGAGAGAAAAACCACATACCAGCAGGGACCCTGTGTGTTCCACCTGTCTCAACCAACAAGGTTTTCTTTTAAATATTAGATTTTTGTGTAGGCATTTGGAAAGGGTTCTATTGCTTTAAGAAATTAAACCCTCTAGGTTTCCTTCTAGCTCTGATATTTAGAAGGAATATTCTGCTTCTTTGGGTCAGGGGGTTGGACGTCACTTGTGCCTCCTCACTTTTGTGACTATTTAAATTTGTAATGAATGAATCCCCAAAGTGTCAAAGAATCCCTGGCTTTTGCTCTCACTTACAGAGATGGAATCACACTATGCAAACTTACATCAAGGCGCCCATGTCCCAGGAGCCTTGCTTACCTAAATTGTTAACGCTGCTACCCAGACATGTTGGCAGTTCACTGGCTCCAAGAAATTCAGGGTTTTTAATGCATATGGAGGTCAGCCTGCTGTTGTCTAATTGTCCCTGCAAGGGTTAATATGGGAGAACAATATGTAAGCTTCAGTAAAAAACTGCACCGATCTTACAGTACATACCGAGCCGAGCCCTCGAGATGGGCTACAAATTTCCCTGCTGGGCTCTGAGCAGCACCTTGGCAGGAGTGCTCCAACATGCATGCCCAGAAATAGAGATGGTGTCTCTGAGGATCAGGCTCAGAGTGTACTTCAGTCTGCACAGAGGGGCTCATGCTGCCACACTGCTGGGGCTACCAGACCAAGCACTTGCATCTCTCCTGCCCTTCCTCATTGCTTGACCATAGAGGTGTTATCATCTGCTGGAATTTCTTCCATCTGTTTGTTTTGGCACTTCTGGGGCCACCAAGGGCATTTATTTTTAGTCTAATTCACTTCTACTGCCTGCCACTGTAATGCCAATCTTTCTATTCATAGGCTACAACTCCTTTTAGGACAAGCATATTTATGAGTCAGCAAAGAAGTTTTCCTACAGAGAAAGAAGTTCACAGGAGGCAAAGTATCACAACAGAGGTACCAAGGGAGAGGTTCTGAGCTATCAGGCACAGAGTTTGTGTTCTGGCCTTAAGCTCAGACTCTGAAGCAGTATAAGAACCAGTTTGGGGGCCACTGAATGCTCTTAAATATGTAGGTTGTTTCTTCTGATTCACCAGAATAAGTGAATTTTACAATTGACAATTGTCAAATAGTTTATTTCCTTTACATTGGATTGAGATGATCCTAAGAATCATGGATAAATGTTTTTGTTGTTGGCCCAGAACTGGTCTAAGACATCATATCTCTTAACTTTTAAAACTCCCAATCCTACATGGTCGTGACTCTTATTCACCTTCTACAGATCAAGAAACCTGTTCAGAGAAGGGAAATACAGTAACTTGCCCAAGATCATCCTGGACAGAGCTGGAATTTGAACCCAGGCATTCTGGCTCCAGATACTGAGCATCTGAATAAACTAGAGTGCCAAACTCAGGACCATTCAGGGCGATGTGTTTCTAGAATATTCTGTTGACTTTGAATTTAATACAGAAGTAGGTGTTTGTCAAGATGATCTCTCCATAATACAGCCTTATTTCTGAGATAGAGCCCTGCTTCCCTTCCTCTTTCTAATTTAAAAAAAAAATGCAGCTAGAATTTCCTCAGTGGATCTTCTAGGAGGACTATGACTCCTGGTTTTCTTGTTTAGGGCTCACTGATCAAGTCAGAACAAAAGCCCTCCACCTGATATACTTGGGAGTTCGTGCCTCAGGGTGGTAAACTAAGTCAGCTCTCAAGTTTCAGTATGTATCAGAATCTCCTGAAAGGCTTGTTAAAACCTATAAAGTTGGGGCCCAGCCCAGAGATTTTGATTCAGGAAGCCTAGGGTGCGGCCTAAGTTTGCATTTCTAATGAGTTAATGTTGACACTGCAGGTTTCAGACCATGCTTTGAGAACCACTGCAGCAGGGTTAAGAAGCTGTGCTTCAATCCATAATGGAAG